GAAGAGAGAGCAAGCTGAATATCTGCCTCGTGAGAAATTGACTGAGAAGCGTGGCTTGGAGGCATTGTAGGCAAAGGTGTGGTGGGTGCGCAAAGTTGGTAGGGTGACCGACTCGCTTGCCTGACCGACTCGCTTATCCGTCACGTTAGGTATAGAAGGATATGCAGAGGATGCGAAAATGGAAACTGCCGAGTCCAGGCTTTTCCAACCCGCCCTTCTTCAATCATCGTATTAGTAGCCGGTTTTACCCCATTGCTGCTTCTAGTGATCCTCGTTGCAGTGATCTTCATCTCCATTTGGCCATGTACTCACGTACCATTCTCTCGGGTCTGCTGTTGGGAGCATTGCCCTTACCAACCTCAGCACAGGATGGCACGAATACCACAATCCCCACTCCCCCGAAGCCCGGTCCACCAGCAGGCGACTGCACTGGTGTGAACGCCATCAGCCCAAAATGTAACAGCCAAGAATCTGCGTATCGAAGAGACTTTTTCTACATCGGTGGTGGTTATGTCGACTCTGGCATCCCGGGCCAGCAGATGTGGAGCGACCAACTCTACGTCGAGAAGCTAACGCCCGCCAGCAAGGTCAACAAGCCTTATCCGATGGTCTTCGTTTCTGCAGGTATCAACACAGGTGCAGAATGGCTGAATACGCCCGACAATCGCAAAGGATGGGCCTCCTACTACCTTGACCAAGGCTACCAAGTCTACATTGTTGATATCGCAGCGAACGGCCGAAGCGGCCAACAACTCCTCTCAAAGTACCCTCTACGCCTTGCCTCCACAGACATTATCAATGAGCAAGGTTTCACAGCCGTCGGAAACTTCAATCAATACCCCCAAGCAAGCCTCCACACCCAATGGCCCGGCGACGGAACTCGAGGAGACCCAATCTTCGACGCCTTCACCGCCGCTAATGTCCCCCTCTCCTCCTCTAGCGTGAACGTCGAAAACACAATGCGCACATCCGGATGCCAGCTCCTCAGCCTGATCGGCCAGTCCTACACCGTCTGCCACTCCGCCGGCTGCACCTATACGGCCATCTGGTCAGACGCCTGCCCCGATCTCCTCCGTGCAAACATCAATATCGAGCCCGGTAACCTCCCCTTTACTTCCTTTGTCGGCGGCTCGTCTGGCGTCGGTGGCGGCCGTACCGCCGCTCGACCCTGCGGTCTCACGTACACTCCGCTGCAATACGACCCACCTGTAACGAACTGCTCGGCTATTACCACCGTGGAGGTTGGGCTCGATACCCCCGGCGAGCGCTCTTGCATTCTCCAGATGGGTACTATCCATAAACTTACGCAGGTCGGTAAGGTGCCGTATATTATGATTACGGGTGAGGCTAGCCAGCATATCACGTATGACTACTGCTTTGTGGCGTACTTTGAGCAGATGGGTCTTACGAATTATCAGTGGATTAAGCTGGCGGATCTGGGTATTAAGGGGAATGCGCACTTTTTGTTCTTGGAGAAGAATAATTTGGAGATTGCTGCGGCGATTGACTTGGGGCTTGAGGAGTTGAATAAAGGGCCGGATGCTCCCGAGCATCCGGTTCTTCCTGTTTCTTTGGAATGAGAAAATGTAGTGTATAGCTAGTTACCAGTGCTCAATCTGGTTTCATGTATATAGCTTGAAAGCCGTGTTATGAAGATGCAACGGCAGGTTATCCCGTCTAAAATTTGCATGACATGTCATTAATCATTCATTCATGCGAAATTGCCAGTAATCGTGATCAAGCACTCTCCCTCATTCAAGCGCATTACCATCTTCTCTACCCACCCACAACCGTCATCTCTTCGCCACAAAAATCTACCTCGCTTTAAGCACACTATCCAGCACACCCACCCTCTTAACCCAACTCCTCGCCCTCTTCCCATAAATATACATCGGGATCGTCAATAGCGTCACCGCAACCGTCGTGCCCCCAATCACATAAAACGTATCTCTCACACCCTGTGTAGCGATCCAATCATTAGCGTAAAATGTCAACCCAAACGCGAAGAGGTTCTTGAGGAAGTTCATGATGGCGAAGGCCTCAGCGGACTCCTCGCGGTGGCAGTCAGATACGTAGGTTACTACGGCTGTGGTACCGAGTTGCACGCCGAGATTGATGAGGCCCATGCAGACGATGACGGGGATGGGCCAAGGGTCCTCTTTGTAGAGGGCTTCGCCCCAGGCGAAGAAGCCGACGGCCGTGAAGGCGAGGTAGGTTGTCATGACTGGAAGTCTGAATTCGGGTTCTGACCAACGAATTAGCCATCATCATCATCATCATCACCACACACACCTCTGTATTTGCAAAATACATACCGAAAATACCATTGTTGTGCTTAGACATGAGTTTCGCGACGCCATCGATGATGGGACCCGCTATCAGGGTAGCCAAAACCGAGGCTACAAATGAAGACATGTTTGTTGCGCCGACGGCACTGACGGAGAAGTTATATGGCGGCGCTGAGAAAATCTGGGATAGCGTTATGGAGATGAGGACAAGCCAGGATATACAGATTGTAAAGAGCAATGTCGCCCACATGACTACGGGGCTGACAATCATGACAAAAGGGCGGATCAGCGTGCGCCAGAAGGATACATCGTCCTTGTAGCCAGACCAAAACTTAAGTGTTTTCTTGTACGAATCGCGGGGTTCCGACGATGGAGACGACTGGCGTGCGTGGTCTTCGATGCGCTCGACGGGTTGCTCTTTGCGCTTCTCGGAGATATCGAGGGTGTGGACGCTGGTATCGATGTTCATGTTGTGGTCGCGGTGGTATGCTGTTTCGGGCATGAAGAAGAAGACAAGGAGGAACATGATGATGAAGGCGCCGCCCATTGCGTACATGGCGATACGGTAGGAACCGTACTGGATAATGGATCCAGCTAGTTTGGTTAGTATCGTGACGATTCATTCGCGAACTTGTCCATACCTATGGGACTAGCCAGATTCTGAGTAAAGCGTCAGTATGCATTTTCTCTTCTTTCTTTTAGCAGGCAACTCACGATTCCACCCAAAACTCCAAGATTGAAAATAGCCATTCGGAATCCGCGCTCGTGGACGTGCCACATATCGCCGACTGAAGACGGGATAAGCGCTTCGAAAGGAGCTGTTCTTGTGAGAACACGATATAGCAAGAGAAGTGTCGACTCATCTTACCCATACAAAATCCTTGAATAGCTCTCGCAGCAGTGAGCGAGCCAAAGCTTGAAGACCCCGCAACCCAGAAACTCGAAGCCGCCAATCCAAGCGTAGTCACGAGATATATCGGCCTCTTTCCTATCTTGACAGCCAGTGTATTGCAGAGAAGACTGCCGCCGGCAATGGCTACGATACAGGATCCGTTTGCACCTAGTCGAGCACCAGTCAGAGCAATGCTTTTACGCTAGGTGGGTGTTGTATTACCAAGAGTAAATCGTTGCAACGGGACGTCGAATTGCTTCGCCAGAGGTACAAAAGCAGATGTTAAGAGCGGCCCGACAGCTAAAACCCACAGTCAGTCTCGTACAGTTGAAATCAATGATTGATTTCTTACCTCCTACACACCCACATCCATACGCAATGACAACCGTAAACTATTCCTCGTCAGTTCTTCCGATACATCTTCCATGTTCACCACTCAAACCCACCATCTCCTTCTGCCATCGCGGCCAATTATACGGATCATTGGGCGAATCCGAGGGCTGGGGGATAAGCACAACCGTCCCCGTCGCATCATGCTTGAGCAGCGAAACATCAATGCCCGACGTAGTCTCAAGATCGAGGCGTCCCAGCTCGCTCAGCGGTGCCGTCCCCGGCACCTTTTCGAGCTTATAGTCTTGCAATATACCTAGCGGCATGATTTCCTCCGTATATCTACGAAAAAAAAACCCCTATCCTCTCAAGTTGCTGGGAAGAAGGAAGCAAAAAGAAAAATGTTTAGGGAAATGGCAAGACGGTGGGTTTCTATTAAACCCACGGGCATTTAGCAGATTAGAGTTACCCGAGAATACATACTACACCAGCTGAAATATGTACCCGTATAGATACGATGTGGGGTGGCACTCTTCACGCGGCAGTTGCCCCCCCCAAGACCAGGGGCCGGGAAAAAGAAGCGTGCGGGGGTTGCGGGTGCGGGGAAATTGACAAGTTAGAGTTGCACTTATCGAACGACTATGGGGTAGTACAAGCAGGTGATGCGGCAGCTACGTAGAAAAAAAGTGGGTATCGGTATAACATTGCCGATGGATCTACGTGCATGGTGGCGCTTGTATTGGTATAGTCCTGTTGCATCTGTCCGGCGATGGGTCCGCTTAAGTTGACCTGCCGCTTTGCCAGGTGTTTGAGTGCTTGGGGAGGATACGAGGAGCGGGAGAGTGTCTGGGTTGGTGTGTAGTGTGTGTGAGTAAGCATGGGAATCGATGACTGGAGAGATGCTTGCTGAACATAAGCACAAAGGTTATTTCGATTACAGGTGCACAGCATCACGGCGAAATCTCCCTTTTTTTCCTTGTTCACAAACAAGGGTTATACTGCCAAAAGCCACCCATATACTTCGGATCGGGTAACGGACCCCAGCCCCACATGCAGCCACACAAAGTCCAGGTCTCATTTACTGTTTAGAGGAGACACCGTATATACGCTCTAGCTCGGAGCAAACTGCGTCTGTGACCTCATTCGTTGAGGAGCTGCCTCCGAGATCACGAGTCGAAACGCCTCGCTCGGTAACCGACTCCACACTCTCCATAAGCTTCTGAGCCGCTTGCTCCTCGCCCAGCCATGCTAGCATCTCGGACGCAGTCCAGAACGTGCCTACTGGGTTCGCGATGCCCTTGCCCGTAATGTCGAAGGCTGAGCCGTGGATTGGCTCGAACATGGATGGGTTTTGGCGTGTAGGGTCAACTATCTTCCTTTAGCATCACTGCGATGATGAACAGGGTAGAAGATACTCACGATTACTGGTCGGTGCAATACCGATTGAGCCAGCCAGGGCGGCTGCAAGGTCCGAAAGGATATCCGCATGCTGTACGCGTCAGTAATCGACTTGTCCCTCAAGTGACGTATCTCTACTCACCAAATTCGTTGCTACAATCGTATCCAGCGACTTTGGATCCAGCACCATCCTACAAGTCATAGCATCAACAAGCATCTTATCGCACTTTACGTCTGGAAAATCTTTTGCAACCTCCGCAGCAACCTCATCCCACATGACCATCCCATTGCGCTGTGCATTGCTTTTCGTGACGACGGTGATGTGCTTCCTCGGGCGCTTCCGTGCAGTCTCAAACGCGAAACGCAGCAAACGCTCTACACCGTGTCGCGTAAAGATGGAGACTTCAGTGGCGATTTCCCAAGGCTGGCCTTTGTGTGATCGGCCTCCTTGACCTGCATATTCTCCCTCAGAGTTTTCACGTACAATGACCCAGTCGAGATCGCCGTACTCTGCTTTTCGCAGAGGAGACGAAGTGCCACGGAATATTTTGGTTGGTCGGACGTTGGCGTATTGCTGAAAGGTTTGGCAGATGGCTAGGCGGAGGCCCCATAGAGAAATGTGATCTGGGACGTCTGTGCAGTCGGTTAGCAAGTCGGGTGCTTGCACCCTTGGATCTTCTACGTACCTGGAGCGCCAACGGCACCGAAGAGAATTGCGTCGTGCTTCTTGAGCTCTTCCAGCCCCCCATTGGGTATGTACTTTCCCGTCTTTTTGTAGGTTTCTGAGCTCCAATCGTAGTCTTTGAATTGTAGTTGGAACGATCCATCTAATTGTGCGAGTTTCTTCAAGACTTGTACACCGGCGTTGACGACCTCCGGGCCGATACCGTCGGCGCCTATTGTGGCAATGCTGTGTGCGCGCGTAGTTGTGCTTGGAGACATGATGGGTGTTGCACTGTTGTTGCTTGACGATGAGATCTTAACAAGTAAGCACCAAGTTTTTGATACTTAAGTCAACCCAACTCAAGTTTACACAAGTCTTCATATAGCGTGAGTTACGGACTAAGAATCACCATGCATGGCCAATCTCGTGTGCCTGGCCAGGTTTGGTCATAATGCTTGCCACTGGTGTTCTTGAGTCCCGCAAATGCGGGGAAGTACCGGGGAAACAAAGTCCGGCGTATACGCCGAGCACAACACAATTTCTTGTTTTTCTTCAATCCATATTCTTGATTACTGCGTGAAATCCCAATGTTGCTCTTGGTCGAACCAGAACGGTATATCAAAGCCTGAAAAGGGATCTAAGCCATTTAGATTGCTGAATGTCATACCTCCAGTCTCTTCCATTGTCATGTACGTATTCCAATAATTGTCGTCCATGCCAAAAGTAGGCTCTACCCCTCCCGAACCAGCAAGTAGTTCAGAATCAGGGTTGGCTGCGAGTTCCTGATTATCCGCTGTTCCACGTGAGTTCTTGTCTAAATGTAGCGGGTCGTGTTGAATAGAAGATGTTTGAGACACATTGTATGATGTGCCAGTGACTCCATCTTCGCCCATATCACCACTTGGAGCAACTGCACTAGCATATCGAGTCGTTTGATAAGACATTCGAGCGCGTAAGTCGCGTATTGCGGCCGAGCTCGCCTCCGGCCATGCGCTTCCACGCTGAGAAAGATGCTCAAGTATTTGCAAACTTTTCTCCGACAGCCTTTGCTTGCAGATTAGCAGAAGAATCTTGATAGACTTTCAAGAGGTAATACCGTATAACAAGAGCCTCAGCGATGTGCTTTCCGTTCGCCGCATAGAAGAGGATGAACGTGCTGATCCACACCGCCCAGGTACAAGAAGGCCATAGTAATGACAGAGAGCGCGACGTTGCTTCGCCTCGACCAGATTCGGATTTTATAGCACTGTGAAGATTGGAAATGATGCTGCGGGCAGATCCGATACATTTTTGGAGTGCCACGTCATATTCTACATCTTTACGCGATGCTGCTAGAGCAGGGCGGTAGAAGGAAATGACTGATTCATGCTTCAGCAATGTTAGAACCATGGTAGCATACCGAGAAGCTTCATGGGGCTCATCTGGGTCGATATAGTTCTCTACGTCATTCCACCATTGGCTAAGCTTCGCAGTAATCGCGGTCGCTCGAGTTGGGTCGTTATGAACAAAGTGTACCGATTTGTGGCGAAGTTCAATAATCTCGCCGCGAATTCTGGCTTGCTGAGCTAGAAGATGAAGTAGACGTAGCTGGTTCTCTTTGCATGGTTAGGGCAGAGTTTATCTAGAGACTGTGGAACCTACTGTGTTCCGACTGGGTTTCTACGTGATGTTCCGTGAGCGGAAAGCATACATCGATGTCGTAATCATGAAGACTCAACGGAAGACCCATAGATTGGCTGAGAAAGCGATCTATCGTGTAAATTGACCAGAACACGCGTTGTCGAAGCTCGCTTTCATCTGAAGAAAATGCTGAAAAGCGAGCTGGGCAGCGATGAAGGCCTAGTTGCATAGCCATACGTGTGATGAGTCCACCTACGCGAGAAGCAGCATTCAGACGAAGCATGGATACAAGGAATATTTGCACACTCAAAGCTGCTTGCAATGCGAGTATGGTCGTAGGGCGTGATAGTATAGCCTGGAGGCTGTCTAGAGCAGACTCATACGTCAGGAAGACGAGGCAGGCAGGATATTGCGCACGATCATATCCATTTGATTGTCTGTGATCTGCAAGGGACGTGGAATGGATTGCCCGAAGTATCACCAGGCGAAGATCCTTGAGAGAATTGTCTCCTGGAATACCTTTTTGTGCGAACTCGTCAAAATACCCTAGGATAGTCGGTGCGTGCAGAAATGGGTAAAACGGGTGCCAATTCGCAAAATAGCTCGCCGAGAAAGCGATCATCTCTTGAAAGGATATTTGAGTAGGTGCATCGAGAATGACCTCAGATTCTTTCCATAGTCGCTCAGATGAATTGGGTTTTACCAGCGGTAAATGATCATCTTCACCTGGTACTATGTCACTTATGGGTGTTTGAGCCACGTCAGAATTTACTGGCCGAGAACGACTGATAGCACCATAGACTGATCTGATGAAGAAGATTCCGCTGGCACTGCCAACAAAGCCCGTTAACCTGTCCGTAGGGTTTCGCATCAAGCCGACTTCACGCGCCAGTCGCATTGAAGTTCGCCGTCGTTTCGCCGACCTCTCATCCCCTGCAGGTCTTTCGGACGACATGTTCTCGTCATGCATATGCTCCATGGTAGCTATTGTCATGTGTGGCTTATGAGAGAGGAGATTGGTGGGTGTCAAAGGCGGGATTCTTGAAGCAGAAAACCCCGCTTTGCCGCATGACTCGATTTTAACCAGCTCTGATGGACAGATTGATTCAGACAACGCCCTGTCTCCTTCGAAGAAGCCTTCGGGCACTAGAAGTAATTTTCTATCCATCGCCTAGAATCTGGGGAGCTATCGAAAGCATTTGGGACTATTGGTTCATTGCAAGTTTCCAGCTGCTCCAGAACTGTCCGTGGTGGTGGTGCAGCAGCAGCAGCAGCATGGATTTGGAGCTCAACTTTTAATCCATTACACTCTGTTTGAGGTGCTGTGATTGCTGCCAGACCCTCATTCTCTCGTGCTTGAAGCCACACCATCAATTGATCGCATGTCTGAAGCGGCAAGCGCTTCCAATCTTCCAGTTTCTCTGCCTTTGACTGTTGTCGTGGTGGCGAGTTGAAGCTTGCACCAAGTAAGTGAGCATCCACATGATGTTCGGCGGCCGAGTTCCGAATGGCGATGAGAGTGGAAGAGAGTGCGGTTTCCGTTGCTGCAAGTCGCTCCTCAAGAGCTTTGATGTAAGCAGCAGGTAGTCCACGTTTCCCACCTTCTTGGTAATGGCATTCGGTCGAAGCAGACTGACATTGCGAGCATGATGGACTAGTGTGGTTAGCTTTTGCACATTGAGTCTTGTGTGGGAGGTGGCAACATTCTACGGTCGCATTTGCATTTTTTCAACCTGCAAGCTTCGCAAGCGATTGCGTGGACTCGTTCCTATGAAGATGCAGTCAGCAGGTCACTCTCCCTAATATATTCAGAAGCTTTTGGCACCATTTGTAAATAGTGATGTTGTCGGGGTAGTGGAACGATTAGCGTTCTACGTTTCCATTGTGTACAAATAAAATAAGAACGGGCTCTCAGCTCCCCAAAGTAGCTGGACACTACAAAGTAAGCGCGACCACCTGCTACCATTGAGGTTCGACATCTTCAACGCAAATGCTTCGGTCTATAAACGTCTTATATTTTCCGAGTAAAACTTATTCATAAAAGAAAACATTATCACTGGAACAGATGTATTATGGAATCATCACGGCAAGTCTCCCATGGTTGGACAACCCCGACCTTGTGGGCACGCCGAATACTTTTAGTTATTGCAACCAACTATGATATCGTGACATGAAGCAAGTGTCGCCTAGGGAACAACAAGACTTCACATATCACTATTCGCTCTTGACCATCAATCAGGATCCATTATCAATCTGTCGACCATTACCTCGTCACAGCATCGATCTTCGCCAACTTGGACGATGAAATCTCGCAACACTCTGCGCTATTCATTGAAGAGCTTTGGCGAGTTCGAACGACGCGCTCACGTTTGGGCGCTTCAAATTTTTGATAATCGTTCTCAATCAACCGGTAAATACTCCCATAGTCACGCCACTGCATCTGAAATGCAATCAAGAGTACCGGCAGCACGCTAAAGAGCTCACCCAACCCAGCCCATTGCGGCTCGATTCTGATCTGACGGCCTATTTGAGCAAAAATACCAGCTGCAAGCGCGATTGCAACAGTGTTGTATACGCCGGACCAAGTGAAGTTGGCGACAATGCGTCGGTATGCAGCATCGGAAATGTCCAGCAATATCAAGATGTCGTGTAGACGGGTGGTCATTAGGATGATGTCCGCAGCACTTTTGGCGACGTCAGATCCCTGGCTGATATGTACGCCAATATCGGCCTGCTTGAGTGCAGCAGAGTCGTTTGTGCCATCGCCTATAAACATGACAGTTTTTCCCGATCTTTGAAGGTCTTTGATGTATGTGCACTTCCCATCGGGTCTGCAGCGCGACTTGATGTTCTCTTTGTGAATATGAAGTGCACTAGCAGCGTCATCCACTGCATTCTCAGTGTCGCCGCTGACTATATGTACTTGGATACCTCGATCATGAAGCTTTTCAATAACCATTTCCGCTCCAGGGCGAGTGCGATCCTTGAGCTCAAAACTGGCTTGAAGGTCTCCCGCAATCGTAAAGTAGCACCTCGTGTTTGATTCATGTCCAATTACGCTGATCTTCAGCCAATCGGCATTTCCGGCGCGGACCACGGCTCCAGTTTTGGCGCAAGTGCCTTCCACTCCTTTCCCAGGAAAGCTGACAATGTTGTTGACCTCCAGAGGTTCGTAGTATTTGTTGGCGATCCTGTCTTGCGTGAGGTAATGTACGATTCCAACGGCTACTGGGTGCTTGATGTCTTTCAAAAGTCCCATCATCAGTCCGTTCACGCGTGTTCTGTCAGTGTTTCGGTATCGTGGAACACCCACAACGTCCAACCTCCCACTAGTAAGCGTTCCAGTCTTATCGAATACTACATGTGTCACTTTTCGTGCGATCTCTAGCTTCTGAGGGTCTCTGAGAATGATACCATACCGTGCTGCCACGCCACTTGCAATAAGGATAACCATAGGAACAGCTAGGCCAATAGCACATGGGCATGACACAACAAGAGTTGCTATGGCGTAGGTAATTGCAGTAAGAACCGCGCTTTTCCATGTGTGGTTGTTATAATACCTGTCGATAAGCAACCAGTAGAGAAAGACCGACAGACCGATGAGAGCTATTACGGGCACAAAATACTCGGCTACGCGATCTGCAAGGGCTTGAGCTTTCGGTTTGCTCAGTTCAGCATCTTCAACTAGAGTTGCAATCTTTTGTATGGAGTTCTCATGAGATAACTTCCTTAGACTGACGACAAGGGAACCGTCTTGATTGGTCGTGCCAGCGAAGACTTCGGATGATAAGCCTTTCGCTTTGGGCTTGAACTCCCCAGTAATCATTGATTCATCGACATTAGAGCCTCCGTAAATGACAATTCCGTCCGTTACGACCCTGGTATAAGGAGGAACGATGAAAACATCGCCGTACTGTAAGAGACGAGAATCAATCCGAGTGGTCTTCACATTGGCCCAAATGTCATTGGCAGAGGGTGACACCAAAAGTGCTTCTTCGATCTGAAGTGATCGGAAAGAGACGGATTTGGTAGCTCGAAAACGCGCAAATTCATTGATCACACGACCCAGTAAGATCAATGTGACTAACAGAGTTGATGTCTCAAAGAAAGATCCTGTTTCCAAAGTCTCTCCCCGAATTTGGAAAATCCAGGACGCTAGGCTGAAACCATACGCCATAGTGGTACTGAAGGCGATCAGGAAGTCCATCTCCAAAACGTGGGAGTGATAGAGCGATCGTAAAGCGCCTGGAACAAACTCCCAGAAAGCGATAAGTTGAACTAGTGTTGCAAGAGCTAAGGATGCCAGGAGAAAAGCCGGCTGATCGCGATCAACGGGTGCCCAGGCGAACACAAGCACAGGGATTGTCAGGGCTAATGTAGGAAGAAACCATAGCAAAGCTCGAGTTGTTTGCTTGGCTCCAAGCTCAATTCCGGGGTCTATGGTCAGAGGCGCCAAGCATATGTCCGGATCGTACTGCTGATAATGCTCAAACACAGTGCGGGCACCTATCTTGATCGGGTCGTAGTATATCTTTGTCGGAGGTATTCTAACGCTTGAAATTTCATTTGTGGGGTTCTTTGGACCATTACTCGCGCCATTGTCTTGGACAGGCCCGTCCGTCGATGCATCGGTCAAAATCGCCGTCTTATTGCGTCGACGTAATCTGTGTAAAGGTCGCCAGGGGGGTCGCTCAGCTGCTTCGATACGGATGACACCTTTGGGCTGACCAGCGTGCTCCAGGCGCCGAGGGTCGGTGATGATGACCTCTAATACCTGTCCATTGAATGTAACTTGCTCCTCAAAGTTGTATCCCGTTTTTGTAGTCAGCAGCATAATGGCATCGTCGGCGCAAAGGACGTTCACATCCAAGTCAAACTCCACTCTAGCCAAAACTGTGTTCACTTGATAGTTTCGGATAGCCGCAATGCGATCAAGAGTGCGTGAGAGTCCTCCTTCACAGCAACCGCACTTGAGGCCATGGATTCGGAGGACGACGCGCTCGAATTTAGGGGGGCCTTTTTCGGCGTCCCTACAGTTGGTGTGGGTGGCCGTAGAATCTAAGTCTTTTAGTGAACGGATCTTGACCTATGTGACCGCAAGCAACAAGTGCCAGGTAGAGGATAGTTACAGTCTAAATCCGTAGTCTCGCTATCTCCGTTCAGCCCATATTGACTACCACTATTGGTCATGGGCACTGTTGCTGGAGATGGGTTGTGGCCGCTAATGAGACAACAATTCGAGAATGCAGTGAACGGACGAAGATGACTCGTGTTATCTTGACGTGATTTGGGCTGTGAGCCTAGGGCTGCGGTTTCTTTAGGAGCTTGTACGTGAGAGTGCGACGGTATTTCACATTGAGGGACCGGTTCCAGATTTTCTTGTGCAGCCGGTAGACTTGGAGCTTTTTCGGGTTGTTCAAGATGCAAATTCGATTCCATAACACGTTGGTTTTCTGCCTCTGGAATTTCCGCGGCTAGTTCTAATGTTGAGGGAAATGCATCGGACGAGCTTTGATGTGACACTTTACGGAATGTATGTTCAAGCGGTGTTCCGTCAAGACCGATATTAGGCATATCAGGCGTATAAGAGGCCGAAGGGGAGTGTTGATGCTGCTGAGATGTAGGTTCGATAGGCCGAGCATATGGATTTCTCACCGGGTAGGTCGCTGCGTAGGGGTTTGGTGTACCGGGTGATACACGCCTGCTTTGGCCAGAAGTAAGGCGCAGAATATGTGTACGGTGTGTGGCGTCCTCAGGGGAGAGCATTCGCATTTCCATTGTGATAATTGTGTACCGCGGTATTAATGGAAAATGACGTGGACGCTGATGTTTCGAGAGGAGAGTGGAGAGGGCGTAAATGGTTGATCTTGAGTTTACAGAAGCTTGTATAACCAACAATCGGGCATGGCAATAGGTAAGGCACGCTCGAGCGAGGCTGCAGGTGCGCCTGCCACATTCAGGGGACTCATCCCAGTGGCATAGTGATGTTGTGTAGCACCTACTAACAGAAACATGAGTGGCGAAGCGTCGGTATACATTGCGGATCGGTATTGCAAAGTCATTTTCAAAAGTGATAGACGTATTTTACTATACACAGAGCAACCAGGTGGTACTACCTGTGCAACGACAAATATCAGACGTCTAAGGAGTAAGTAGCACCTGTGTCCCGGGAGACGGGCGTATTGTAGGTGCATGCCAGACAATGATGTTCATGACGCCATGTTAGCTGCTTCTCGGATAGCAAAAGTCACTTGAGAGTGTTGTAGGTATGGGTAAGAAATGAGGGTGAAGGACAGCATCATTGGCACCCTAAACGCCAAGCGCCCAACACGTGATAGCGCGCTTTAGGTGCATGTTGCGTCATCAGCCATCACTGTCGCCTCCAGTACAGTCATGCACATCCAGTACAGTCATGCACATAACAGCGACTCCTCGTCACAGCAGTGCCAAGATCTAGTAGCGCATATGACAACACTTGCTGATTGAAATGGTGACACCCGTCATGAACACTCAACATTGTCTTCTCGATCTACCAAGCATACTATAACGACGCACACCACGGATCGCGCCAACCTGGCAGGCGACACCAGACATGGCAGGCGCTCGCGCGAGATCGCGCCAGACAGTTGAGTCGTCCACGCCAAGGAGGTCGGCGCGGAGAGGGAATAAGGCACGATCCGAGGAAGAGGTGCCAGCTGTGTTCCAGGACATGCTGCGCGAGGAAGAAGCATCCAAGGCTACCAGCGCTCATGAAGATGGCCCACCGCAAAAGAAGAGAAAGATAGCGCCACAGATCACGAGTCCACGTCCTGCCACTCTCCCCACACGGGTCTCGCCAGTGCCGCTCCGCGCACAAGCGCAAGCCACAGCTACAATTCAGCCAGTCACTGAAGAGCCTCAATACACCAGCGGACGGGTGCGACAGACCATCATCGATTCAGACGAGTCGGAAGACAGCGATATGGAGTGGGAAGATGCGCTGGCCGATGGCGACGATAGCGACGACGACGACGCTGCAGAGGGCCGGGATACCGCACCGCACATCGGGGACATCTCCATTGCCATTGGCGCCAAAAAGATAGACGGGAATAGTGGGAAGAGAAAAGTACGGCGGCGAGCAATAACGTCCGTTGAGAAAAAGCGCCGTTTGGATATTCACAAAATGCACGTCCTCTGTCTGCTTTACCATGTCCACTACAGAAACGCTTGGTGCAACGACAGAAGAGTTCAAAGCACCCTACGAAAAATTGTTTCCCCCAAAACACTGGCTAGCCTCATTCCAAATCCCGACCTCACACAGTATTCTGCATCCAAGCAGTTTATTGACGGGATGAATGATCTCAAGATGATGTGGTCCAAGCGATTCAACATTACCGCCCGGGGCATGCACAAGCCCCGATGGGTCGAGGTCGATGCCGCTATCCGTCCCTTCTCAGATTTTGACGATTTTGATACCCCTATGGATAAAGATGAATTTCGTACTGCGGCGCACATTTTGCGGGGGTCTCAGGATGTTGGTACGCAGTTGTTTTGCGCCCTTCTCCGTGCGATTGGCATAGAAGCTCGCCTTGTCTGTTCCCTGCAGCCTCTACCCTTTGCTTCTGCCGCTGAGCGCGCAACTCCGCAAAAGACGAATGTGCAGAAGAATACCATAGTAGTTGATCCGTATAACAAGCCACCAGAGCCAAGTCCTACAAAACCTACATCACAGGGGCCGCGGCCTAAGAAATTGTCCAGACTAGAGCGTATAATGGGCGAACGACATACAGTCCTGAACCATACTGGTGTGGCCCCTAAGAAACAAAAGGCATATCACACTCCGTATCCTGTATACTGGGTTGAAGTCTTGAATCCTGCATATCAGAAATGGGTACCAATCGACGTATTCTCTACATTCACGGTCAACCGCCCCGAGAAGTTGGAACCACCGCTTAACTTCCCCGACAACATTTTGGCTTATGCAATAGCATTCGAAGACGACTTTTCAGCGAGAGATGTCACACGACGGTACGCAAAGGCATACAATGCCAAGACGCGGAAATATCGTGTCAACAGTACACCTGGAGGGACCAAGTGGTGGCGACGAACTATAGACTTTTGGAAGCGTAGATATCCGCTTGACAGAGACCAAGTGGAAAATGCTACCTTGGCGCGCAAAGAAGCATTGGAGGGACTACCGAACAATGTTCAGGACTTCAAAGGACATCCCGTCTACGTACTTGAGCGGCATCTCAAGCACAACGAGGTCATTCACCCTCTGCATCAGGTTGGGAAGGTGAATTGTGGCAGTGCCATGAATCCCAAAATGGAGCCCGTCTATCGTCGTGTCAATGTACATACGGTCAGAACCGCAGACAAATGGTATCGCATGGGAAGAGATGTGAAACTTGGTGAACAACCCCTCAAGCGCGCGAAACCTAAGAGAGGGAGGAGGAGCTCCATTGATCCAGACATGGAAGGCGATGAGGAAGCAGACGAGGTTGGAGCTGGCCTCTTTGCTGAGTTCCAAACCGAACTCTATGTACCACCTCCTGTTGTCCGAGGCCGCGTTCCACGCAATGTCTACGGCAACCTTGACTTGTACGTTCCTTCAATGTGCCCACCAGGCGGTGTGCATATTCGACATAAGCTGGCGTCCAAAGCAGCACGTATAGTTGGCGTCGACTTTGCAGATGCCATCACTGGGTTCTCTTTCAAAGGTCGCCATGGCACTGCAATCGTGCAGGGTGTAGTAGTTGCGCAAGAATACGCTGAGGCGGTACAAAGCGTTATTGAGGGGATGGAGTACCAGCAAGAAGAAGCAGAGGCGGCAGCACGCAGAACCGAATCGCTTCGACTGTGGCGACGCTTCTTCCTTGGTCTGCGCATTGCCGCGCGCGTCAACGCGATTGAAATCGACGGTGAGAAAGGCCCAACTATTGACGTGCAGGACGAGATCAGTAAAGAAGATCGAGAGCTGGCTGCCCAGGAAATGGCAGGTGGATTCTTTCCTGATGATGGCACGGCTGCCGAGCCCTCGGGCAGTGGGTATCAACCACGACATGAAGAGGATACCGGCGGCGGATTCCTACCAGACAGCAACGACGCCGGTTTTGACGACAATGGCGGTGGCGGCTCCATGGTAGATGAGGATGAAGCTGCACCGCCCACTACTCTGAACCGCCACCAAAGTTTCGAAAGTTCCATTCTAGACGCACAACCACTTCTGCCCCCGCGTCCATGTAGTTGCGATGAAGTCTACTCTTCCGACGATGCTACCGACGAGGGTGGAGACTGGGAACAACTAGAAGCTGGACCTTCTACGAGTGCTGGAAGTGGTAGTGCGATACCCGCGCACGTTAATCATCCTGGAAAAGAGAAAGTTGTAGTGGTAATCGACGAGTCTGTTTCGAAGGACTCTACAGACCGGGAAAATGCAACGACATCGGAACATGCAACGAATGAGTCGAAAGATACAGAGGACGCAGAGATCAAGTCCCCTCCAGCACAAGCGCCTTCATCTTCGCCGTCTGAAACCGGGTCGCTCATGTTGGAGGATCCCGAGGATGAAGATGCAGATCCGGATTGGTTAGTCGACGTAACTTGACATTTTGATTTAATCATTTTGGATAACCTAAAGTTTTGATCTATTTCCATCACCATATTCTCGCCATTTACGTACGAAAATAGTTGGTTGAATAATGATATCTTTTGTTCATCATGGCCCCACTCTATCCATCCCTTCACAAATAATAACCCTCCATCTAATCTATCCAATGCATCACTTCCTCTTCAGCATATCCTCCAACCCCCCAATCCCACCTTCAAACCCCTCAAGATCATACTCCTTGGGATACCTCTCGAGCACATCCTTCAACTCCTCGGCATGCGCCCTCTGCTCCTCCGTCAAGTTCTCCCAAACACCCTCAAATGCATTCCGAATCGAGGGCTTCTTCTCCTTCTCCGCCTCTTCAAACGCGCGTAGGACTTCCTTGCGCATCGCACTCCTCACCTCCTTTTCTTTATCTTCATCCCACAGTTCGCGGCTCTCCAGCCACTTTCTCAGCCGTGTGATGGGATTGTCGCGGCGTTTCCAGTCCTCGACTTCAACGCGCTGGCGGTACGCGAATGAGTCGTCCGAGGTACTGTGGTGGCCGACGCGGTAGGCCATCATTTCGATGAGGACGGGCTGGCCGCCGTCTTGGAGGGCGAGGCGCCGTGCGTGCGAGGTGGCGCGGCGTACGGCGAAGATGTCGTTGCCGTCGACGCGGAGGGTCGCGATGCCGTAGCCTGCGCCGCGAGAGGCGATGCCGTCGCCCCGGTACTGGTCGGAGGTTGGGGTGGAGATGGCGTATCCGTTGTTGCGGCAGATGAAGATGCAGGGAACCTGGCGGGTCGCGGCGATGTTGAGAGCGGCGTGGAAATCGCCTTCGCTGGCGGCGCCCTCGCCAAAGTAGCAAACTGCGACCCGGGGTTCTGTGTCTGGGTTCTGGATGTTTTGCATTTTCAGTGCGTAGGCGGCGCCGGCGGCATGTGGGATTTGGGTTGCGAGAGTGGAGCTGATGGTGTGGATGTTAAGTTCTTTGCTGCCGTAGTGAACGGGCATGTTGCGGCCCAGACCATTGTCCTTGGAGTTTGCGAAGAGTTGGTTCATGAAGGAGGAGAGGGTAAAGCCGCGTTGAAGGTAGACGCCCGATTCGCGGTATTGGCAGAAGATGACGTCGGAGGGGGAGAGGGCGCTGGCTGAGCCGATGGCAATGCCTTCTTCGCCGGCAGAGACCTTGAACTGTTAGTATGTAGTTGCTTGTAGGTATATGGTATGAATCACCATGTAGAATGATAATCTGCCCTGCCGTTGTGCTTCAAACATGAGAAGATCCATTATGCTCACTGTGCCATGTCAGCCGCAAGCCCAAGACCAGGGTATCCATTCCACTGACGCTTAACCATGTTCTTATACAGTGACAATGCCTCTTCATCCGAAGTCTCGACACCGACCTCCTTGTTTATTATCTCTCCGTACTGGTCCATGACGCGGTAGGTGGAAATGGCCTTTGTCTTTGACGGATGCATAAACTCCATGGTGTTTGTGAATTCGCTGTTCAAGGCACCAGGAAACAGTACTCTGTAGCATTTCATCAGTCTCTTCTATTGCAGTATGTCCCATCCGTTCTCAAACTCACCTTTCAGCCGTGGGCGTCGAAGCAACACCCCGACATGTTGTCTGCCACGGCGGACCTGTCGGCCTGATAGACGCATTGCTAGGACGAGCACTCAGGCTCAGCAGCCTCTGAAGTTGTAATCTCCGCGAAATATAGCGGAAAGACATTTTGGAATTATGCTACATCATGGAATATGCGGGGGAAGGTGGTATATCAAGCTGGGGAAGTGCGGGCGGCAAGCGTCGGCGTAAAGTGGACGTCTAGAATGCGTTACCGCGGCCAAACTTCCACGGCAACCACCGCTCCCATGGCGAACGGTCCAAGCTACCGCTGCATACAATTGCATTTGCATTATAACTAGACTAGACTACTCTCGTGTACCTGTACCATATTCGTACTAATGTGTTGATGTGCATCACACGGGCGCTAGTAAGAGGGCCGCCCACCCCGGCTATGCGCGTGTCATAGCGCATCGAACGAAAGTCGAGATTGCCAAGGCCGCATCTTCTTTTGCTACAACCATCCAACCACCCACAATCCCCCAATTAGCCCGAGCGATGCAGGCTTCACGGCAGCAGATAGGACGTCAATTGCTCTCCGGGCAGCGGAGGCCAGCAGTAGGAGAAGCATACCGCTGTTTCTCTTGCTCAACCAGACAAGCACGACCTCAACACCCATCATCATCCCCGCCACCACCACCTCCTCCTCCACCAAGGTCCCCGCAAGATGCACCGCAAACAACGCACTTTGGCTTTGAAACAATTGCCGAGGCCCTCAAGGAGCAACGAGGTAAATCCGCCCACTTCCCTTCCCCCCATATCCAAACCTCCCAAACTAACCCCGCAAATAGTCGCATCCGTCTTCTCCTCCGTAGCCTCCTCGTACGACTCAATGAACGACTTCATGTCCCTCGGCATCCACCGCCTCTGGAAAGACCACTTCGTGCGGAATCTAAACCCAGGACGGAACCCTCTCCTCTCCCCCTCCTCTACTCCTGCGGACCAAGGCATGAACATCCTCGACATCGCCGGCGGCACCGGCGACATCGCCTTCCGCCTCCTCGACCACGCCTCGCACATAAACCACGACGCGCACACGCGCGTCACCGTCGCAGACATCAACCCAGACATGCTCGCCGAAGGCAAAAAGCGCTCGTTGGCAACCCCCTACGCGCGCTCCCCGCGCCTCGCATTCGTCGAAGCCAACGCAGAGGATCTGCACATGATCCCCGACGCCTCGGTCGACCTCTACACCGTCGCCTTCGGCATCCGCAACTTCACGCACAAAGACGTTGCCCTGCGCGAGGCGTACAGAGTCCTAAAGCCCGGCGGCGTCTTCGCCTGCCTCGAGTTCAGCAAGGTGCAGAATCCCCTCTTCGATGCCGTCTACCAGCGCTGGAGCTTCGGTGCTATTCCCCTCATTGGTCAGCTCGTCGCCGGCGATAGGGATAGCTATCAGTATCTGGTCGAGAGCATTGCAAAGTTCCCCTCCCAGGACGAGTTTAGTGCCATGATTAGGGACGCGGGGTTTTTGGTGCCCGGCAAGGGCTGGGAGGATTTGACAAATGGCATTGCGGCGATACATAAGGGGGTTAAGCCTGTTGGGGGGACGAAGAAGAAGAAGGTGTAAGGATTATGTTTTTTTTGTTTGACTACTATTAGATGGATATCTTTGTATGATTACTGTCATATCTTATATTTTTTAAAAAAAAAGCAAAAATTCTTAATGGCACATAGATATATCACTCACACTCTTTTAAGATTCTACAAACAATGACAATATGAGTGGAGTAACAACATGTTCATTCATTAGCCAGAGGACGATGTACCGACTTGACCAAGTTATATCAGCTAATAACCAGCCTATATATATAAATATATATATATATAAAACTGTGCCCCATCCTCAACCCCAAACCCCAAATATTCCCAAGAAGAAGAAGAAGAAGAAGAAGCAGAAAAAAAAAGCCAACCCCGAACCCCGAATCCCCTAAGAAAACACCTATTTCGCCCACCCTTTGTGCATCAAAGCGTATTTGTAATCTACAAAAACGAACAAACTGTGTGAGTGTATGTGAACTTTGAGATTCCCCAATTTCCCCACCTCCCTGGCCATCCCATATATTTCAGAAAGAAAAGCTAGATGCGCAAAGCCTCCCTCCGCAACCATGATTGGAAGAGAGAGAAAGAGAGAAGAGAAAGAAAAAAACGCCGGGTCCATCCAGCCCCAGGCTAAGATAGCCATGTGTAAGTTACTCAATCTGAGATAGATGAAGAGAAAAGAGAAAGAGAAAAAAAACAAAGTGGTGAGAGAAGTAGAAGAAAGTTCCAAAAAAAACTATACAAATTTAACACTCCATCGTATACGGAACCGCGCTCAAAAAAGGTAAAATGAAGAAGAGAGGAGGGAAAGAGAAGTAAAAGAAAAATGAACCCTTTAGGGTTTAAAACTGATTATGACAACGCCGCCTCGAAAACAAAAAAACAATGTAATAATATAGTCAAAGAAGAATCAATCAAAGTACTTTGTTGGAATGTCGCATCGAGCTTTTCTTTTCTTTACTTTTTTTTTAGCGGAAATAGGATGCGCGTTTGCTTGCGCTGCCAGTGCTGAGCCTGCCTCTTGCTTCCTCCAGACTACGCCGGGAACCGCCAGCTCCAATTTCGCTCATCTGGAACAGCAGTGGTTCATCGTCGTCCACGTTGGCTGCAGCGCGACTGTTAAAGTTGTAGCGACTTTGCCGCTCAGTTGAGCTTGTGCCACCGGTACTGAGACTTGTCGAAGAGCTATGTGAGAAGAATCCGGATCTGTCTCGGGGACCAGCCTGGGGGCCACGCTTGGCAGCAATGTTTGACGTAGAGGCAGGTCGGGGCAAGTCTTCGCGAGAGTCGGTATCAGTATTTTGGTTGTTGCGATTGGCCAGCATCTCGGTTTGTGCAAACAGCCCGCTAGAGGTGAGACCGGCGCTGGTGAGGCGATGCAAATCATTCGCCCGGTCAACCTCTTCTGACGGCAGACTGGCTGAACGCACACCGAACACGTCTGGTTCATCATCAGGCAGAGTGCGACCCTGTTGAGCTACCGAACTCGACCTGCGAGTGTAATGCCAAGGGCGGGGCGAGGTGGGAATGGCGATGCCGTTGCCATTTTGTTCTTCGTTCTCGCTTTGCTCTTCCACATGAACTGGATCGTGGTCGTGTGACCTTCTGTTAGGTCGACTCCGGCTTCGTGTAGGCTGATCGTATTCAATAATGCTATTGGCACTCAGGCGAGACGGGATGGCGGGCGTATGAGGAGTATGAGGCGAAATAGGTTTGCCAGGTGATGATGCTGTCGAGACCGAAGTGCCGGCAATCATTGCAGGCACGCTGGACAGATGGCGGCTTGAAGAGGACGATGAGCGATGAAGCATGGTTGAGGAGGAAACTGACTCGGCAAGGCCTGTATGAGACTCTCTCATGCGCTGATACTTGGATAACTGAGCAGTCGTCTTGTGCATCGTGGCTGTCTTGGCGGCATGGTCGCTGCGAGTAAAGCTCTTGAGGTCCTTCTTTGATTCCAGAAGTTTGAGAAAGTCGGAAATGTTCTCGTCGTCTGTCCTGACCTCTCCCGAGCTGCCACCGGCACCCTCGTTCAGGGTATCGGAACCCCGTTGTACTGATGATGATGGACTGGCCTTTCCACTGCTGAGGTTGTCATCTTCCAGCTTGCTACCACCACCAGAGGAAAACTTGCTCCTCCTGTGGCCAAAGCTGCTGCTATAGCGGCTGATGGGTGCAGGCTTTGGTGAACTAGATGCAGACGAGGTGATGGCGGCCTCGTTGGGCAATGAAGGTGCTCGGAGAGCAGCCTGTGGAAGAGCATTTATCGAGGTGCGGTTGCGTGGTTGATGGAGCGGACTGGGCGTGACGTTTCGGCCTAAGGAGCTGCCCGGTCGTCCCAAGGAGCTGGTGGGCGAACCAGGAATTCCGCCTCCTGGTGCTGGCGACGAGGAGAGCGAGCCGGCTTTGAATGGCTGGAAGGAGACGGATGTTCGTCGCTGATGTAGAGGTGTGTCGACCGAGCGTAGGGAGGACTTGGAGCCTTGGGCGATGCGATGGTTTGGTGGCAATTTCTGTGGAGGCGACTCTGTGGGTGACGACGACGGCATATCTCGAACTGCGCGCAAGGCTGAGATTGGGCTGGTGCCTGTAGGTGGGCCGACTTGGTGAAATGTCGAAAGGCTGCCATACGCTTGACCAACGTCGGGAGTCTCTTGGGCATTCATTTTATCCACGGGGAGCGAGCCAGGCATCTGGCGGGCCTTTTGCTCAAAGTAAGTATCGTCCAAGCCCATGAATTGTGAGCTCAAAAGCGATTCCGAGTTTTCCACGGTGAACTCGCAATTGGCGCGATATTCCACGGTCACACACAAAGGGCCGACTGGGGAGTTTGTAGGCTCAATGTTTTGGACCTCTGTAATTTCGTCTGGGTTTTGGTTGGGGTAGAGAGGCAGTCGCAGAGTGTCGACATGCGGGCTCCGGAAGTCTCCATTGGATATGCGGTAGTTGAGTTTCAACGAGGGAGTAGTGGCGGGCTGTTTGGCGAGAAGCTTGTTGTATCTGAATGCTGGCATAAAGCGAAGGGAGGCAAAGAGCGATCGGAAAGTGACAACGGCTTTTTTGTAAACGTTGGGGAGCGGGTCATTGAGTTCTGACGGCTGTACCGAGCTCTTATCTCCGACGTGCACTCTCCAGCGCTCGAGCACCACCTGCGTAGGCTTGGCAGCACGACTTGAATATGCAGAGGCGGCGTCGGCAGAGTTGAGGGCAGTGGCAACATCCCATTTCTTCCCATCGTCGTCCTGTATGGCAAGGGACTGTGTGTGTCCGAGAGCTTGTATGTCTAGGTAGATGTCGATGCAGAGGGACGGGTGTTGGCCGGCCATGGCGTCCATGACTTTCCAGTCGGTCAGCTGGCGCTGGAGGGCATCGCTATCGGGGAGAACAACATTGAACTGGGAGGGCGTTAGTGTATGGGGCGAGTGGCGGGGAGGGAGAGGGAGAGAGAGAGGCGTAGCATACCCATTTGTTCTGCTTCAAGTTGCCATCCTTGTTGTACCCTGGGGGTAGGACTACTCGCGAGGATATGACGGCAAGAGCTACCTTTGTGAAGAAGTTCTGCGTGAGAGAAAGTCAGCATAGGTACAAAGGACATGGTGTAGGGGCAAGGCTAGGTACCTGGATGACTTGGTTGACCTTGTGGTAGTGCTTCTGGTCGGACTGGGCAGGGTGGTCCCCTCCTCGCGACATCATTTCGCCCTCGGACTCGTCGGCGGCTCGGTCAGAGTAAGGAGGGGTTGTTGAGTAGTTGTGCATGTCCATGGAGGTATGCCGCTGGTTGTTTGTTCGCGTGGGGTTGGTCTGGAGGTTGCTGGCGGGTGAGGCTGTCCTGGGCGAGGGGCGCGAGTAGGGATTCATGGCGGCAGCCTCGAGCAGGCGGGTACCAGAGAACAGAGAGAGGACTTCAGGCGACGAGGCTGAGAGTCGGGGTGCAGGTGGGTGAGGTAGGACGGTTATCGTTGCGGCGGAAACAGGCGAGCATGGATGCGCGTAGCCATCACGAGTTCAGGCAGTGTCAGGTTGGCGCCGGGACAGTCAGAAGTGTCTCTCAGGAGACTGGAGCACGCGGGGTACTTGTGGACGCAGGCAGGCTTGCAGGCAGACAGGCAGAAAGGCGGGTGGCTCAGGCAGCAGCCATGATGTAGAGCGACAAGAGTGGGCGAGCGAGGGTTGTTGGGGTGTGTGTGTGTGTGTGTGTGTGTGCTGGCTCGGGCGAACTTGGAGCTGAGCACCTGGTTGGGACAGGCGAAGGGCGGCGATGCGATGCGCTGCGATGCACCACCACGACACGGCCAAGGTGCGAGTGCGAGTGGGAGAAAAGGGCAGGCAGGTGACGGCGATGATGCTTAGTAGGCGGGGGGGAAGGTTTTTGGTCAGTGGTCAGGGCAGTCGGGGAGTCAAGCAGTCACGCGGCGAAGGTGGAATGACGAGCGAAGGCGAGAAAGAGAGTAAGTAGAGCTAAGCTAAGTAAGCTCAAGATAAAGCTATCGGAAGCTGCAGGAAGGGCAGCGTGCAGGCATAGGCAGCGCAACAACGGATGAGTTGAAACGAAAGCGTCAAAGAAAGGCAGGCAAATGCGAATGGGGAGCTGAGGATTAGCAGGCTTGGCCCCGGTCTGGGGTAATCCGGCATGGTTCTGTCTTTGGCTCTGGCTCTGGCTCTGGCTCTGGCTCTGGCTCTGGCTCTGCTGCTGTTTGTCCAGCCTGGGTATGGATGGCTTCATCTGCATCGGCGCTGTGCTGTGCTGTGCTGTGCTGTGCCTTGGGTGTGGCTCTGGCTCTGGCTCTGGCTCTGGCTCTGCTGCTGTTTGTCCAGCCTGGGTATGGATGGCTTCATCTGCATCGGCGCTGTGCTGTGCTGTGCTGTGCTGTGCCTTGGGTGTGGGTGAGGTGCTCGAGGACGCTAGTGACGCTCACGTACAGCTGCTGCATGGCTCCGAATCGGGATGCAGCTGATCGCGCCCCATCTTATCGGCCTGCGACGAATGCGAATGTGAATGCCCACATGTACATACGTATGTCCTGGTCC